TTTCTTTGACTAACTCTTTCTTTGACTACCTCATATATCCTGACTAACTCTTTCTTTGACTAACTTGTTTCTTTGCTAAATCTTTCTTTGACTACCTCATATATCCTGACTAACTCTTTCTTTGACTAACTCTTTCCCTCACTAACTCTTTCTTTGACTGACTCTTTCCCTCACTAACTCTTTCTTTGACTAACTCTTTCCCTCACTAACTCTTTCTTTGACTAACTCTTTCCCTGGCTAACTGTTTCTTTGACTACTCTTTCTTTGACTAACTCTTTCCCTGACGAACTCTTTCTTTGACTAACTCTTTCCCTCACTAACTCTTTCTTTGACTAACTCTTTCCCTGACTAACTGTTTCTTTGACTAACTCTTTGTTTGACTAACTCTTTCTTTGACTAACTCTTCCCTGACTAACTGTTTCTTTGCTAACTCTTTCCCTCACTAACTCTTTCTTTGACTAACTCTTTCCCTGACTAACTGTTTCTTTGACTAACTCTTTCCCTGACTAACTCTTTCTTTGACTAACTCTTTCCCCTAACTGTTCTTTGACTAACTCTTTCTTTGACTAACTCTTTCTTTGACTAACTCTTTCCCTGACTAACTCTTTCTTTGACTAACTCTTTCCCTGACTAACTGTTTCTTTGCTAACTCTTTCTTTGACTAACTCTTTCCCTCACTAACTCTTTCTTTGACTAACTCTTTCCCTCACTAACTCTTTCTTTGACTAACTCTTTCCCTGACATTCTAAAAGTCCGTAACACGGAAGTTTCTCCCCCTAAACTTCCTTTGACTAATATTACAACTACGTCTGATAACAACTGGTGCCGTGTTCAAGGCATGCAGCATGCGGCGGATTTTCATGATTTTCTTCTCAGTTCTTGATTTCCAGATTGATTCCTCAAAGTGCCCTTCCCATGGTTTTCAATGTTTAAAAGGCGACCACATCGCCTTTTCATCTCGCCGCTTGCATAGATGTGGCTTGCCTTTATGGCGATGGATGAGTTGCCAAGCTGCGATCCTTAAAATGATTGGAAAACCAAGGGAAGACTCATTCTTGAAAGGTGGAATTACTGGAACAAACTGGAATATTGAACACACATTGTACACACATTTTTTTAAAACCACCTGATTGATCCTGATTGCACATGTTTTTTGGAGTCATTGAGGAAACCACTGAATCTTCTATTGACGAAGCATTTGGACATCAAAGTCGCTGACCTTGGGATCAGCAAAGTCCTTGAAGGTCGAGGAGATTTATCCGATCGAGGCTACAAAATGACAGGAGGAGTTGGAAGTTGGCGTTACATGGCTCCAGAAGTCCTGCGTCATCAGCAGTACAACGAGAAAGTGGACATCTTTGCCTTCGCGTTGATCATGTATTTCATCAGCTCTGGACAGCAACCCTTTTCTCAATGGGGAGATCCAGAAATCATTCTCAAAGAATATCTGAAAGGAGAAGAACCGAGGCCAAATTTATCAGATTGTCATGTCAAAGTACAAGGCATCATCCAAGCAGCCTGGCATGTGAATTGGGTGCAACGTCCGTCAGCACAAGATATTTTGGGGGAGCTGATGGAATTGGAGAGACTCGAACTGGAAGCCCTGGAAGCCTCGAGCAATCTTCCTCGATGCATGTGCCCTCAAATGTGAGCCCAAAGTCTGGCCAAGTCGCCGCGGAGCAAAAGGGGCTCTTCACCTCCAACTCTTTCAACTCCACCATTTCCACCATTGTGGCAATGACCATAAGATCCATAAGATTCACCATTTGACTCAGGTGATTCACCCTTGCCCCAAGATTTGGTTGCTCGCTCTCTGGTTCTTTCCTTTCTTCTGCGGGCCTTTGTTTCCAAAATGTCCTTTCAACTGAGCATTAATCACCATTTTTTTGATATATAATTCTTCTCAAATTCACAAGTTGAGATACGTAACACATCGTAACACCGTGGCACAAAAAATTCTCCGAGGCTTCGCCTTTGAGAGGATTGTCTCGAGGTGCTCGGAGCTTAGAAAACTCCAAGGCCGAGCAAGTTGTGTACGCCGGGCTGTCTCACCATTTTCCAGCCTGCGTTGCATCTTCGTTTTTTTTTTCGTTTAGTCTCCATGATGCAGACATGACAGGTGCTGGACATGTTACGCCGTTAGCAGAGATTCCATAGCATGCCAGAGATATCCATACATCACATGTCATATAGAATAATAAAATATAATAAGCAATACTGAATATGATATAGATCTACACCACATCATAGACAAATTCGCATCCATTTTGCCAACATCGTCGCATTCATTGCATTCGTTGCAACGGTGAGACGAGGCCAGCGGCATTCTGTCGCTGGGCTCTGCTGTGACACCCCGAAGTGCCCAGGGCGTCAGAGTCTGAGGATGAACAAATAAAAAGTGAATGAATCGAAGGGTAACACGAAGTGCACTGCAATAGTATAATAGATATATATATGTATAATATGGGCAGTGCAAGCACGAGAATGATTGGTTTTTTAGCTGATTAGCCGCTGGCATTGTTCTCAAGATCTAAAGGTGCTCCGCAATGGATCAACAGGTGATTCTGGGGGCAGTCTCACTGTCCCTGGGATTTGTCATTGGGTGGCAGGCGAAACCAGCTGCTAAGGAGGAGATTGCTCCCTGCAGTTGTGCCTGTCACTGCGGGTGCAAGTGCGAGGCTGCTTTGAGTGGTTCACTTTTGCTTGGTTTTGGGATTGTCTTGATTGTGATTCTGGGCGTGGGAGCCTTACTCTTCTTGAACCGTCCGCTGGCCACTGTTGAGACGGAACCCAATCCTGCAAAGGGAAAGAAAGGAGTTTTTGGGCAGACCGGCAAGGTACTTTCTTTGACTCCCACTCTGTAAGAGCAGTAAGCCATGGAAGCCGGGCATATTGCGCTGGTCTCATATGGTGAAAGACCGGTGGTGTGGCACACGAGGATCCTTTTGGCACATGTCCATGGGAGTTGCTGGATCATACTGACCCCTGATCATGATCGATATGAAGAACAGCTTGATGCAGCAAATCCCGACTACGAGGATTTTGAGTTCCTAGGGCCCAATCATGCCATTCCAGCCAGGATACCTCAGGCGTCAATCTATGGTTTTGCACCAATGGATCCTGGTGAGTTAGCCAGACAAATGGCTCTTGGTCGAATTGAGGCCGACTCTATTCGAGCACAACGTGGACTTCCACCTCTTGCTGGAGGAAGGCAAGGAGTGGCTGCACCAGCACCTGTTCCTGCTGCACCAGTACCTGCCCCGCCTCCCTCTGGCGTATTGGGGCCAGCGGCTGGGCCAGTTGCAGCAGCAGCTCCAGCAGTGGGAGTAGCAGATCCCTACTGTTGGGTGACTCTGGAGTCTGGGGCCGGAAGATTGAAGGGCGATGTGGTGGTAGTTGAACCAAATCCGCTTCCTGCGGGAACCCAGCAGTTGGGAGATCGTGCCATGCTGCAAGATCCTGCACAGCCTGGGCATGGTATCTTCTTGAAAAGGGTTCTGCAGTCCCAGTCTTCCACATACAAGCTTGATGACTTCAGGGTGTTGCCAGTGCAGTTCGATGCTCAAGGAGTGAGGCGGAGAGATTTTCACAGTGCGGTGCCCATCATGATCGAAGGGTCTCCAGCTGGAGGTGGTTTGCAGTTGGAAGGGCCTGCAACGGCTCTCAACATTGCCAAGGGCCTAAGGGATCAGAACCTGACTCCGACTACATACCATGAGTTCTGGATTAGAACTGGAGAGATACCAAAGGGTGACCGCAGTGTTTATGAGCACGAATGTCTTTCTCGGATCTTTGAGGCGATGGTCACAATAGATCAACTCAATCCTAGTGGTTTGCAATCGGCTGAATTGGTGGTGCGTAGAATGCAGGTGATTCGTGAGGCCCATAGGATAAGTCCCACATCTCCTGACTACAGCAGTGCCGACATCTTTATGGGATGGCGATACCGAAAGCAGACTCAGGGCGTCGATTCAAGCCTAGCTGCCTACGTAGCTGTGGAACTCAAGAGCGATGCAGCCATTGCGAAAGAGAGCCGTAAAGCTCGTGAAGAACAGCAGCAAAGGCGCCGGAACCTGCCGAAAGGAGGCGGGGGAGGCGCTGATCCCAAGTGAGATCGAGATGTCCATGGGCTATTCGGCTGGGCTCATGGATGCAACCAAAGCCGAAGGGAGTGGCCTGTCCTTTGAAAATTTCCAGACGGGTCCTCAAAGTTTTGATTTTTCAGGCGGGGATTCAGCTGTTCCAGATCCAAACCGCTGGAGAGAGCTTTTTCCGTTGCCTGCGTCCCCATTGCCGGTCCATGCATCAGGTTCTTCAACTTGCTCGCGCAGGAGAAGGGCAAAGGTGCGGACACGTGTTAATGAGGCTAATGAGATTGTCAGATGTTTGAATGAAATGTATCATCCCAGAAAAAAGTCTTATGATATTGAGACTCCAACCCTGGCCCAACATTCCAGCCAACATGCAATCTATAAACAACTCCAGCGAAGACCAGCACTTCGCCATTCTTGTACAGAGCGTGAGGCTATTGAAGAGCTTCTGCATCATGAAGTGGCGTACACGGGTGAGACGTGTGCGACTACGGTGCGCCCATACGACCGTTCTTTGGTGTCCCTTCCGGATTGTGGTTCAAAACTCGTGCCTCTTGATCAGGTACTGGATGCAGCCGGACGAGAAGTGGTGGGCGACCCCCATGGTCGAATGCTGGTGAGTGAGGCTGAATGGGGTGAGATTGTGGAGAAAGGTGAAACGGTGATGCCTTACATGGACGTGACTTTGCAGAAATGTCCTGAACTATATCATCAATTCATCTTAGATCTTTACGAGAAGAACTTGATCAGTTTTACAAGCAAGCCACAGGGACTGGTCACCCCCTTCTTTGTTGCCAAAAAGAATGGACGTTTGAGATTTATTTTGGATTGCCGAGCGGTGAACAGACGGTTTCATCCTCCTCCTCCCTTAGCTATGGCCGCAGGTAGCACATGGAGCTCTTTGGATTTACCACAAGGTGAGATTCTGTACACGGCTCAAAGTGATATCCGTGACTATTTTTATTCCTTGGAACTTCCAACTAGTCTTCAACCACTTTTTTGCCTTCCGGCCATTCCACATCGGTTGCTGCAGGCTTGGGGTGTGGATGAGCGGCATTTTTCAGAACCAGATGGACAAGGTTGGGTTTTTCCTCATCTTGTTGCAGTCCCCATGGGATGGAACTGGGCTATGTGGCTGTCACAACGTGCACACCAGCAAATTGCTTTGGAGGCTTCTGGATTGGGAGTCGACAGAGTTCTGGTGGAAGGCAAGCCATGTCCTGAATTGGCATCAGGGAAACCAGTGATCATACCCTATGCAGACAACTTGAACGTGACGGGCATAAATGCTGAACTGGTTCAACAAACAAAGGATGTTGTTGTGAAGCGGTTGAGGGAGCTAGGTTTCAGAGTTCATGAAGAGTTAGATGCACATCATACTTGCCAATCCTTGGGTTTTTTGATTGATGGTCTGAATGGCACAGTCTCGCCCATACCTGAAAGACTTGACAAGATATGCAAAGCGTTCATGTGGCTGTCGAGACGGCCACAGGTCAGTGGACGATCCATTGAAAGGCTTCTGGGACATGCGGTGCACATTTGCCTTCTTCGTAGAGAGCTGTTGAGCATTTTTCGGGGCCTTTATGACTTTGCATATTCATGTTATGACAGGCGGGCGAAACTATGGCCAGTAGCGGCCAAGGAGGCGAGGTGGGCAGCTAATCTTCTCAAACTTTGTCAAGCTGACCTCAAAAAGACATGGTCGCGACAGGTGACCTCATCTGATGCTTCTCTGAGTGGCATAGCAGTTTGCAAGAGGGACATGGAGCCAGCTGAGCAATCCATCATTGGAGGCATCAAGGAACATTGGCGATACAAGAGTAGAATACCCGTGAATCCGCGTGAAGCTGCCTTGTCCCCTCTTGATCCTTTTTCCAACCCAGAGACCGTGAAACCATCAGAGGTTCAAAAGCAAGATCCATTTGAGCTGAATGAGGTTTTTCCGGAAGTCCCCAAAAAGCATCTTCAGAAAGATCTGTGGCATGACGTTTTTGCAGTACACATGACACACCCGGAGCATATCAGCTTATTGGAAGGTAGAGGTGTAGTAGCGGCTCTCAGACACAAGTTTCGCAGTTCATTCGAGTTCAATCGCAAGCATCTCCATTTTTCAGACAATCTTGCCGTGGCTCTATTGGCTGCAAGGGGTCGTTCGAACAACTTCCAAATGCTGCGGGTGAGTCGCAGAATAGCTGCACTCCTCTTGGCAACTGGCAGCTGGCTGTCCGTCAGGTGGATCCCCAGCGAGTACAACGTTGCTGATCGAGCTTCAAGGCAGTGGGAACACCTGAGGGACAGCCATGTTGCTAGCAGAGGTGCCGTTGAGAAGGGGAAGAAAGAGATCCATGCCAGATGCTACAACAAGGCCGCAATCGCCTTGGGTAGAACCAATTTTAAGGAGGGCCACGTCGGAGATGAGTCGAAAGGGGAAGAAGAGGTCAAAAGCCACCCCTTGCCAGCTGGGGCTGACCAAAGATCAGAAGATCAGCAGTCGGCGGGCGAAGATGCAGACCCGTGTGGATCCTCCCCGGTTTTGGGGGCAGACCATGTTAGAGAAGGTGGCCGTTTCTCAACCAGTTGCGCTAGACTATCAGCGAAGAGTCAAGGAGCTGAAGCAGTATGCCAAAAAACAGAGGCTCTCACTGAAAGGGGCTACCAACTTCGATCAGGCTTGCTGCAAGTTTGTGAATCACATGTTCAATCAAGGGTTCGACCTTCAAGACGGAAGCAAAACACTTGCAGCAATCATGGATGCGTTCCCCGCCTTTTCCCCCAAGCACATGTTGAGCCGAACACGAAGGGCACTTCAGGGCTGGGGAAAGCTGGAACCCCAACAGACAAGACCTCCAGTCCCATGGCTGCTGATTCAGGCGATCTCCATGGAACTGCTGAAGAAGAACAAGAAGGCTTCAGCAGCAGCAATATTGCTCATGTTCACAGCCTACCTCAGACCAGGCGAAGCTCTAGACGTGCAGCGACGGGATTTAGTGCCACCATTGCCAGGCAGCAAGCACTACTCGCTGCACCTTCATCCCGCAGAAAGAGCTCAGCAGTCCAAGGTGGGGCTGTCGGACGAGTCAATCTTGCTGGACAGCCCAGTTCTTCCATGGATAGGCGACATATTATACGAGATAGCCACGGATCCAATATACCTTCTGGATATCACTTACGATCAACTGGTGGGCGATTGGAAAAGGGCACTCAAGAATCTTGGGCTGGCAGAGAATCACGCGGTTCTATATCAACTGAGACATGCAGGGCCCAGTCACGACAGATATATGAAGTTGAGGTCACTGCCGGAAGTCAAACAAAGAGGCCGATGGGCAGCAGACAGCAGCGTCAGGCGCTACGAGGCCCACGCCAGGATCAGCCAGGAATTCCATGCTCTTCCAAAACAGACCCAAAGACTTTGCTGGCATGTGGATTCAATCTTCCTGGCCCAGGCCCCAAGACTTTTCCGCCAGTGATGAATGGTCAGAGTCAGCGTCTCTCCAGGCATATTGTCCTTGAACTGTTTAGTGGATGCGCTGCTTTATCCAAGGGCTGTTCACAACATGGGTTCTTAGCGATTGCCTATGACATTGATTACAGCAGTAATTGTGATCTTCTACAACCTCATGTTGTTGATGACGTTCTGGCCTTCTTGACGCAGCACTCCAACTTAGTGGCACTTGTTTGGATGGGAACCCCATGCTCTTCATGGTCTCGGGCTAGAAAACATGACGGTGGCCCCAGACCCTTGAGAGATGATTCAGCGAATTTGTTGGGTTTTCATGACATCCCCAGAAAAGATCAAGTCAAAGTTCAGATAGGAAACCAACTTTTGTCAGTTTCCGCCAAAATTGCACGGCATTGCATGCACCTCGGCATCAGCTTTGTGATAGAGAACCCGTACTCCTCTCGAATCTGGCTGACTGAGCAGATGCGCTCTTTAGTTGCGGCTGGGGCATCTTTTGGCAGGACTGACTTTTGTGGATTCAAAACACCCTGGCGCAAAGCTACTGGATTTATGTTCTGGCAATTTCCTGAGCTGGCTACCATTTTCAAGACTTGTTTGACCCAAAATGGACGCTGTAGCTTCTCTGGACGTAGGCATATCATCCTTAGTGGCATAGATAGTCAAGGTGTCTGGTTAACCAGACGTGCACAACCATATCCGAAGGATATGTGTGATGCCATTGCCCAGCAGCTTTTTAACCATTTTTCTTCTTAAGCGCACTTCTTGCAAGTGGATATGGGTGGATGGGGGTCTTCGTCGTTTTGATTTCATCTAACTTTGAAGATCCCGGCCAGCAACACTGAGAAGATCTCATGTTCTGACTTCATCCTTCTTTTGAACTTCGGAGGCTTGTCAAAGCCGCTTGCAAAACAAGAGCCCTGGCTGATGCGACAATCCCATCATGGGCAGTGCAAGCACGAGAATGATTGGTTTTTTAGCTGATTAGCCGCTGGCATTGTTCTCAAGATCTCCACCACCATCCCCTCCACCTTCCTGATCTCGCATTCTGCGGGGGTGGATGGGGGTCTTCGTCGTTTTGATTTCATCTAACTTTGAAGATCCCGGCCAGCAACGCTGAGAAGATCTCATGTTCTGACTTCATCCTTCTTTTGAACTTCGGAGGCTTGTCAAAGCCGCTTGCAAAACAAGAGCCCTGGCTGATGCGACAATCCCATCACATCATATATATATATGTATAATATATATATACATGTATATATAATAGTAAAGTGAAGTTTTTTTTCATGAAGCTATGCTCTTTTCAGAGGCTGCGCGTTGTGTCGAGATTGCACAGGCAGCTTTGGCACGTGCGGCCTCCAATCACTCCATTCGCTCCTTGAGCTCCGTTGGTGCCAGGACCCTCGAAGAGCGTTGGGCTCCTGTTGCAGTTGACATACCTTCTCAAATAAGAGTTAACCACAGATGGAATGAATGTAACTTACATATATATATAACTAACATACTCGTTTGAAGCTCAACATGTATCCAAATGGCTAAAAGACTACGGTGCATATTGCATATATACTCCACAGACAATTTGATTGCTTTAGCCAACATGAGAACTTAGTATTTGGATGCATTTGCTGTTTTGGTCTTCGATGAGCAACAAAAGACACCTGTCAAAGGGGATTGATGACTGAAGTGGCAACCAGTATTTCTGCCACTATCTCTTGTTTCGCGTCTGGAAACTTCATGAGACCTGAGTTTCCAATGCCCTGTTGTTTTGGTTTTTATGTCCTGATACGGAAGTGTCCACAGCGAGCTTGATATTTTTTTCAGTGCTGAGGAATGAGCATGAAATCTTGAACCGATAATCACAAAGTATCCGTAAAGTTCACTTGATTGCGTGCAAACACATATACAAGCAATTACATTGCCTTATGCAGCATCCATTCACATCTATCTTGAGGACTAAGTCATGTAAGAGTCATGTAAGAGTCATGGACATGTCCTGTGCGATTTGTGGCAGCTCAGAGTGACTTTCCTTCTCCAGTCTTGCAGGAGTCTTAAACATTCTTAAACAGTTTCCATTTCTTGATTAAATTTCTCAATCACCAAGATGTGAACATGTTTCCGGATGTTTCCGGATGTTTCCGGTGATCCTTTAAAGGCTCCTTTTGTGACGACGCTGAGTTTGCTTCGTTGCCCGGAACAGCGCTGAAGGACACCTAAGACTCCAGTGACACCGCGGACACCGAAGACGCCGAACAACTCGCATGAGACTCATGACATCTCATGACATCTCATGACATACCCTCTGGTAATTTAAAAGTTTGCTATTGAAAATGGCCATTAATAGTGGATTTTCCCATTAAAAATGGTGATTTTCCATAGCTATGTTAGTTTACCAGAGGGTACCGCATCATACAACTCACGGTGTTTGACAAAGCACCGGTGACACAGTGAGCACACGGAATCCCAATTCCACTTCCCACTTCCGGCGTCTGTCTCTTGAAATTTTGCTGCGCATTTCACTCTGTCTCATTCCGCTGACCACCTCTGACATGTCCAGCGTTGTCCAGGTTCTTCGCTCCGACCGGAGCAGTGGTGGTGCCCCAGAATCGTTTACAACGTGGACTTGTGATGACTTGCGATGACTTGCGATGACTTGCGTTGTGTTTCAGGACACCAGATTCGATGAAGTTTGATTGGCTCAGGCTGGATATGCAACTACTTTCGCTGCAGCAGCGCGCACGGAGGCATGCAGTTGTAAATTCGCTCGCCAAAAACGCGTCACTTCTGAGCAAAAAATCCCTTTGTGATATGGAAAGATATGGATCGACTGAGTTTGCGAACAGAGTTTGGCCACATTTCTGGTGTCCATTTGGTTGTCCCATTTGGTTGTCCGGCTCGGTGCAGGAGTCGCTGCCTTCGCTGGGGCCTTCGGAGCCCAACTCTCCAGAACGTCACGCACACGGGTGCCTGGGGTGCCTGGGGTGCCTGGGGTGCCTGGGCCAGCGGCGTTCACACGAAATGCGGAGAAGCCGATCGGAGAAGATCGGAGAAGTGAAAAGGAAACAAGATGAAGAGGAAGAGGGAAGTTTGTTGATGAAGATCCTGATGAAATATTAGATGTTTGATGTTTGATGAGATAAGTTTTTATAAGTTTTTGAGGGAAGAACCATTCTTGGAACGTCATTCATTGTTCATTTATGGTTCACTTGATTTCATTTGTCAGGTCGCTTCGCTATCATTCCGACTTGCCCATCCTCCTGGGACAGGCCGTTGGAAACTCAGAGTCAGCTCAAATCTTCCGTTGTATCATCATGTACGACAATGTAAATAAGACTTTTAAAAAACATAAATAAAAGACACTGATATTTCTTGTGTAGTCATATTAATTGATTTCCGCTTTGTGTCATTTGCCTTTGTGTTATTATTGTCTTGTAGCCGTGTCGTGTTTTTGACTGGATGGGAATGGTTGATGTTTATTTATACCACCTATATATTTATGGTGATGACTGGGGGATGGTTGATGGATGTTGATGGTTTATAAAGTTTGAATACCTAATGGTGATTGAGAAAATACCTAGTTTATAGTAAACATATCACCATATATCACCTGGTGATTTATACCATATTGATGGTTTATGATTGTTTTACCCACAGTCACTTTCTTGTCACAGGCTGCAGCGTCGCCTCCATCGCCCTCTCTGAATCCTCGCAGTGTTCATTTTCAGGACGAAATCAGACCCAAATAATACATAATATATATATTATATATATATAGAGGGACATATGTATACACATGATTGCATGTATGTATATATATAATATATATATATGCATATACGTGAGTACTGTACTGTACTATATATATACATGTACATGGACTATATGTATATATGCATGATTACATAGTATGTATATACACGATATATATACATATATATATATATGATATGCATATACAACTTTATGGATATATGCGTTTGAATCAAGTTGATTCGAACTTTACAATCAAACGTTTACAATTAATGTGCACGTCAAAGCTTCACTTTGATACCGCCAATCTGACTACCTTGCCGGCTTTCTTGAAGCAGTTTATTTCATTACCCACAGTTCTCCAGTAGTTCTCCAGTAGTTCTCGGTGCTTCGGACAGGACGACCTAGACTCGTTTGCTCGTTCCACGCGAGAGGCGCAGCATAGTCCCGATTCTATCATGGCGCGAACAAGACGAGACTATCAGGATCTGATGTTACGAGATTTTATTTAACCGCCTTCGGCGGTTTTGGCCACCATGGAAAGAGCCATCCTGGCCGCAAACAGCGCTTGCACAGGCCCAGCAAGAACATGGTTTTTGTGTAAAACGGCGCTTTCTGTAAAAGACGGTCTTGACGCAAAAACATGACTTTTGTTCAAACCACGGGTTAAGTTCAAACCAAAGCATGTGTGTAAACCAGGTTTTGGAAACGACCATAGAAAGGTTATGCGTGTAACAAGTGTTCGGCACAAGACAAGAGCCAGTGGATCATATAAGAAGCGACGGAGCAAACCGATGGCAAACACAACAAAAAAGACGGAAACAACATCAAAATGACAGCAAGATGTGCAAGACCAAGCCGGTGTTGAGCGAGGCGTGGGCAGAGTTGGGCCCAGCGTGCTTTGACACAGACAGGGTGGGACATTGTAAGTTCCCGCCACGTAATTCACACAGATTTTAGTCAGTGCACCAGATGAATATCTCCCGGTAGCTATTTGATGCTCTTTCCTTGAGCTTGCTTGACGACACATGAAGAAACAAGATGGGGTGGCTTGGGTGGCTGTGTGAGACTTGCTCGCCAGTGTCATTACGCATGAGTACCATGGGATCGTTTTCTCAATGTTTCTCTGGCCATTTCTTTTCCAGGTTGTAAGCGTTTTCACCAATTTGGACCAATTTCATTGTCGCTTCGCTACGTCGCTACGTCGCTACGTCCATCTTATCCTCAGCTTTTCGTATTCGCCAAACCTCCACACCTCAACTTGCCCGTGCAGATGGTGATGTCTCGTCAGTTCTGACCTTGGAATGCTCACTGCTCGAGGCTTTAGTTACTTTTAGTTACTTTAGTTTTAGCCAGTTCGCATCAGTTCTGGTACATCCTGATGCATCCTGATGCATTGCGTATGCATTGTGTATGTCACATTTGTGACTACTGCACGGTTCGGATTTGGCAGAGTTTTTAAGGCGGGCACGCAAGGAGCGTAAAGAGATGCTGGACAAGGACCTGCAACTGGATCTGATCAAAGCAGTCGAAACCGATATAAATTGACAGACAAATCAGAACAAATCAATGGACATTTTGCTGTGACTGCAGAAGTGTCATTACTTTCAGGGCACAAGAAAGATCAAGAAAGTAGCTGAGGTATGCTGCATGGTATGCTGATGTATTTTGCAGACGATTTGTTTTCCGTTGAGGCTATGAGGGAGAGCGGGATGTCTCGGTGAAAGCCTGACAGGGCGAAATCCAAGAGCCAAGGCGAGGCATTCGAAACAAGCAAAAAAATGTCTGGACAGCTAGTGTGCTTATGAATGCTTATGATATTTGGTTGGTGGTTTGGAACATGAATTGTATGACTTTCCATATATCCGGTTCATGTCATCATCCCAACTGACTTTCACTCCATCATTTTTCAGAGGGGTAGACTCAACCACCAACCAGATTATTATTAACCATCATCAACCATATATCAACCATAATATATTTATTAACCATAATCTATTGACCATATCTTAACCATATATTAACAGTATATTCACCATGGTTGTAGAAAACGGGTTCTACACAGCTTAAGTGCTTCGCACGGTGAGATCCTCGGATCCTTGACACTTGGATTCGGCGCTGCCAAAGGCAGCACGGATCGGTGATCGGTGACCAGGGGTGAGGGTCGGGTTAGAGGAACAGAGAAGATGAATGAAGTAACAAAAAATATAACATAAATAAATATGTATATATTTAAATGTATATATATATATATACATAATACATATACATATATATATATATTTAGTTATACAAATTTGAGAGTTTCAGAAGTGCTTTGAGACCTGAAAGCAACTGATCGTGATTTGATTGAATATTGATTGAATATCGTTAGCGAGTTGTCTTCCCATCTCTTTTCCTTGAACTCACCTTGCTCTTGGCTCATGGCACCGCAACGCTTAGACATGGCTTCAGCACCTCTTGAGGCTCACCTTGCCCCACTGCGACGAGTTCACTAAATGTTTTGGATGGGATAAGCACAGTAAACGACATGTCAGTAGCTGCGATGGGATTGAATTTCCAAATTCCAGATGGGGTGCCCCCAAGCCACACAGCGCACGTTTCCCGTGGAAACTCAGAGCCATCCTAAAGGGATGGCCAGGCTATGCCATGAGAGGAAGTTTCGTAGCGACATGTAGCGTGCGAAAGGCTCTGCGTTTTTGAACTTCGAGATATTTCGAGATCCTGCAAACTTTCAAGGCCCAAAGGCCTCTGAAAAGGTCGCCATGGTTTGACATGATTTGACCATTTGTTTCCTCAGGTGTTTGGCTCATGACGATAGGATTTGGTGCCCTAAGCCGGGGCGATTTTCGAACGTCTCTGGCAGTACAATGATGCAGCGGCATCGCGGCTGCGAGGATTTGTTGTCGACATTGTTTTTCTTTCTCTCTCTCTATATATACGCACATCTCTCTATACATATAATATACATATATATATATATACACATTTACGTATGCATATGTACATTTTCCTTTATATCCATATACACAGTTAATATACATTGCATGTATTATATTCCCTTCTTCCAGTTACAACATGGACTCTTCTGACTCTCAGGTCTTTGGTGCTCCTGTCCAAAATGGGCCCCAGCAAAGGCCGCGGCCCGCTAAATACCAAGCGGGCACCGAGGTTGAAGAAGGGGCCCGGCGCCACAAAATCTGAGTCGGAGGGGTCCGAAGGAGGGGTGGAGCAATTGCTCCATCTTCTTGGTGAGATGATAGCTTGTATCATACTATGCCAGAGATGCTATAAGAACTACACCGGAGACAGAGCTACGTCATAGGTATATACTCTTGACTATGTATATGTGTACATATATATATATAATATATATATATATATATAATATATATATAATATAATATATATATATATATGTACACATTATATAATGTGTTGTATACAGTTAGATCATCATCTCAAGCCCTCGCTGAGGTATGGAGCAATTGGCCTCGGTCGCCATACCAACAAAGGCCATGGGGCCATGGCCGTGTCTAAGTTTCAGCGCTCTGCCTTCGGGATGCTCATGCTCTCAACAGCAATCTTTTGTTCAGCCGAAACTATGCCGGATAAATCGGATAAACATGGATAAACACATACCGATTAAAACTGTTGTTTTTTTAAATGCAGCTTTGGCATTTTTCAATCGATGCTCAGCTTTGGATTTGCCATTTCGAGGATTTTTCTTCATCAATCCTATGCTCTTTCCAATCTTGAAGGTGCGATACCTCTGGTATGGCGTGCATTTTTGGAGATGCCATGGTCTGTATACACTGTACAAACCTGTATGTGGAGCAACTCATTCCTTGCTGTGGTCCACACTTGTTGAAGCAAGTTGTCCCGCATGGGAAACAGGTTGAAAACACATGCAAAAAACAGTGTTGAAAACACATTGGAGGACATTCTGTCACACAAAACAAAAGTGAAAGGGTTGGTTTGGCTCTTTGAGAAGCAGTTGCAGAGGTTCCCGACCTCAACAACTTTGAGCTCAAGCCGTGCCCTGTGAAGACAAGCTTTCCCAGAAAGTTTGGACTCCGAGGTGACAAACTAGCCCAACAATAAGCAACTATAAGATCAATAAGCAACAATCAGGCAAGATAATTGATATAATTGGCTTGCAAGAACATCAGTTGAGACAGTTGAGACATTCTGTCACAACTCGGAAGGATTTCTCTGAGAGCGGCTAGCTAGTAGCGGCTGAGAAAGACGACTCCTCTACACAACTGGGCCTGTTTGGGCCTTTCGCTTGGCGGACCGACCTGTTGACGAGCCAGAGGGGAGATCATGGGAGACAACTGATTTGGGCTTTGGAGACTTGTTTCAGATTGCTGGGGTGTCGCCATTTGGCTACCCATTTGTTGCCCGTATTTTGGTCCCAAAATTTGTTTTTCTTGTATATTCACCCCGCTTCGCGTGGGGTGGCCGCCCACACCGCAGGTTTATTTCGGTCCGTGAGAGGGGCTAAGTTCCCCCCCCCCTGGGATCCTTCCAATGGGTGCTTCTTTCACTTTTCCCCCCCGTGGAGGCTTCCCAAGCTAGGGAATTTTCGCTTTTCCCCCCC